AAAATAAGTGAAGACGGAATTGATAACATTAACGGTGATGACATGTAATTCGGTTTGATTTTATAACCTCCAAACTAACAAATTTTGAATGCAAATGGAAGCAGAAGGATGAGCATTAAAAGGTTTCATATCTGATGCGTAGTGTAGCCACAGGCAACAACAAGAGCCGACGCAGCAAAGTTAAGTTCATCCATGGATAGGGCAATTGGCTCTGTCATTTCCAGGGACGTACGTGCACGGAGAATTTGTAGAACCATTGACAGGGCCCTTCTGCAGAGACACCAAAAACAGACTCAGACTCTTCTTCACCAATTCCTCAGTACTCTGATCTCCATGCAACACCCTACTAGCTATGTGAGGTTGGACACTCAGAACAAGAACTACCATAATTGCCAAAACCTTCCTTATTATTACCTGCTCCATCTCTTGAAGCAGCAGAGGACAGAGATTTAATGCAGGAGATCTATAGAGTGTATTTATATAAACAACCTTCTCCGCATATCTAAGCTGCTTCCGAATTTTGACTGTTGGCCATTAAGACCTCTCTCTCTCCTTTCTTATTCTTTAACTTCAGGAACCATCTTTTCTTTCCGGCCCCCTTTCTACTTTCTTGGTCTATTAACTTTTGGGAACCTTAGATGCGGGACTTTCGTCCCAAACGGGTCTAATAAGGATATTTCACAGTCAACCATAGACAAAGCATATACATTAATTAATTCCACGAGAATGATCATTGATCAACACAATATTAATTGTTTCCAAGGGGCTGGGTGTGTATTATTGTATCCATGTATGAAACTGAAACCCAATGGTCCGGTCCCATCGACTCCACTTGGGATTTTCTATTGACTTTTCCTACCCGCCGTGAGTTAGAGCCATACATCTCTCTTATGAATTGAGAGATGCGTGGTTGCAATTCTTTCAGAAGTAGCATCACAAAGAGCACGAGCTAAAAGAAACTCAGGTTTCTTACTAATTTTCTCTACCCACGCCCTGTCTACAGTACACTGCAACCACACTTCTCACAATACAAACTTTGGAGATGTGTGGCTCTAATTCAAGGTGGGTAGAGTGGACTCTGGATCTCCTGCCCACAAGAATTCTACCTGTCTACCCATAATACACTACCTTTATGCATTGGGAACATCTCTCCATGCATAATACTATGTAGGAGGATGAGATGTTCCTCATGTATAACTGTAATATTACGTGAATAAATATTGATAAAGTTCTCGTGATTAGGAGATCCAGACTCTGTAGAGTATGGGTAAAGAGTAATGGGCAGAATATCCAATTTGAGTCAAAAGGGCATGCTTCTCTCTACAGATAAATGCATCAGTGACGTGTTTCCTCCTAGTTGGCTTCGTAGTCCATTGTCTTGTTTGTCGAGAATTCAAATGACATGGTGTAGTGCTTTCCATGGCATCATGGAAATTGTCTTGAAACTATTATAAACTGTGGTGTAGTGCTTTCTATGCCATCAGGGGTCCGTTTGGTTTGAAGCTGGAACCGGAATGATCTATTTCTATTATTTGTTTGGTCTAGATAAAATGGGAATGGAAATTAGTATCAGCATGAATGGGATTTCATTCCCAAGAGAAGAAGAAAGAATTGTCATTCCTTTAAATGGGAGAATGTCATTCCATCAGGAATGAGAATGAGATTCTGATTCCACTCAACCAAGTAGTTAGAATTGAAATAATTTCTCTCAATATTGGTTAATTTAAGCTCAAAAGTTGTGACTTGAAATACTACAGCACCAAACGCCTACAAAAGTTTAAAACTTTGAATCATTAACTTTATGCAACACCACTTTTTCCAAATGGACCTTCTAGATCTCTTCTTTATACAACTTTCTCATTTCAACAAATGGAAAATAATGTCCCCGATCGATCAAAACAATTGATTAGAGAGAACGACCATTTCCCCGCAACAATTGAATTAGTTCAATTCTACCACTTTACTTAATTAGGCTGCATTCGATTAATGCTTTTAAAGACGAAGTGAAAGAAATGATTTCTCTAGAAAATGTTGCTCAGTTTCACACTAAATTGGAAAATGATTTCAACTAATCTGGGCTCTTGACAGGACCACCCTATATTTGTAAAATAATTTCAAGGTTCAAACTATTGATTCACGTGATATACACTTAGATTAATCTTAATTAGTTCCAATAATTGAGTCAGGGGCATTTCTAAAAGGGTGTATTAACCTCCAAAAGTGACCACATGATTGGTTGTAATGTAAATAAATTTGCGCTGATGTAAAATCATGGCAATATAAATGATTTGAGTATAAATTCTGACCTATTTTTGTTTTAAATTTTAACTTAATTTGTTTGATTAGAGTACAAATGAAGTAAATTAAGACATAAAGTAGAATAAAATAAAATCTAAAACAAAATTAAACAAGAATTTGCATTTTTTATATTTATACACCCATGCATTTGTACTAGTGCAAATAAAATTGTACTATAACCAAACACAGCCTTACAAAAAAAGATTAACAGTAAGGAATGCCATTTTATTAATACAACTAGTATTCGCCACCTTTAGGATGCATTTGGAAACAATGCAAATAAGTGTGAATCAAGGTTTTAAAAATTGACCTGGAAACGGAACCATTTTGGCCACTGGTTTCCGGGTCAGCAGTTTGACCATCCGGGTCAAACGGTTCAGATGGTTTGAGTATTTTAACAGTGATATGTCATCTTACCCATTAGATTGAAATATTAGGGTAAGATGCATATAAATATAAAGAGAAAATAAAGATAGAATGAAAGGTATTTGAGAAGTTGTCAGCTGAAAGAGTTTAGAAGAAGAAGAAGATGAAGAGGGCTTGAAGGCTTTAGTGGCAACAGCGGCGGCAGTAACTTATAGTGACGACGGCAAAGATGATGGCAGCAATAGCGGCGGCAATGGTGAAAAACGGGAGTATATTTGAGATTTCTATATTTAGATCTCTCTCTCTCTCTCTCTCTCACTCGCAAATCTGTCATCTAGAGTCTAAAGACTCTAAACTTCTCTCCCAGATCTCTAAATGTGAGATCTCTCTCAGTCTCACACATCTCTCTCAGTAGATCTCAGATCCGAGAGATTTCAAATCTCAAATTTGAGAGATCTTTTTCCCTTTTCATTTTGTTGTTACAAGTTAATAAATCGCAAACCGTTTTCCGGGTCGAACGGTTCAACGGTCAAACTGTCCAGGTCAACAGTTCGTTGACTAATTCAATGGTTTTTTACCAGAGACCGGGTTTGGGGTAAAACGGAACCGGTCATCTGAATGGTTTCCGGTCTAAACAGTTCGACCGTCCAAGTCAACGACAGTTCAAAAGCATTGGTGTGAATGCAAATATATAGAGTGTAAAACGGTTCATATAAATTGGAAAGTCGGGTTAGTTTTGCACTGACAAATTTACCTTCTTACAAAACAGACTTTTAGCTGTAATGGATGCAAACATAAATTTCAATAAAACATATGCTTTTTTTTATTAAAAGTCCACTTGAATGCAAATTTACTTCTTCTTTATTGGTGTACTTTTACATCTTATTATCAATGTAAATATGCATTGAAAAATGTGTTTTCTATCATTTGTCAATGCATAAATATAATGTTGTAAAAAACGGACAAAAGTGAACCAAAATGCAAATTTACCCTGAACCAGAATTTACACTCCATTTTCATCGTTTCAAAACACAGCCTTAATAAAATATCCAATTTCCTCAGCCATTTACGTGAAACCAAACACATTAGACACTGTTTCCTACATTTATGAGTTTAGTTTTTTTTTTCTTGGGCAACCTAACCGGGTGGATAATCCATCCCCACCGCCCAACCCTGGTGGCAATGGGATTTGATCCTAGGACTCTATTAGATAGAATCAGAGATCCTACGTAGCCGGGAAGTCCAAATTAGCATATATGTGTATTTCTGTGGTGGTAGGTGTTGATCTAAGTTAGCAACGCAACTCTCATTCAAATTAAACGGACGGTGAAGTTGGCATTTTTAAGCTGCCGCTGATCAGATGAGAGAAACTCGATCGATCAGAAGTGAAAGGTTTGGATGTGAACTCCAGGTAATTAAACCAAAACCAGAGCTACTTCTGATGCTGAAGCTAGCGGAGGTCCCTACAGAGCTACTTCTGTTGTCCCCATGTCATATTAGTTCAATTGATTTTAACTGAAGTGACAAACTAATAAAGATCAGTGAAGGAAGAGACTGAGATTTATCTGGCTCTAAGGGAAAACCCAGGAAATTAAGCAATAAGAAGTGGTACTTCTTCTTGATGAACAATATATATGCACACATATATAAATAAAATTAATAGTTCTCTGTAAACCTCTATGATCAGTGTCCTCTCTTTACTATATATTGACATTTTTGTTGCTTATAATTATAATTAAGTCTCTTTTTTTATTTTGCATGTCATACCTTGTTGATTTTATAATAATAAAAGAAAATCTTTCTCGAACCCAGCTTAGAGTTGCCATTCTCATTCCAGCTGGTATACAAGTATGCATGACGATGCCATTCCTTGCACGTCTAAATTCAGTGGTCAATCAAACTGATTGACCCAACATTGAAGTCTGATGCTTGCTTCGTGGAAACAGGAAGAAGAGAGAGGGGATTGTCACCATTAACTGATAACTCATGTGAGAATTTCCAAATTGATCCAACCCAACAGATAGCAGCCCTAGGCGATCGTGACGAATTTCAACAATTGCCATCTAGACAAGGATGACGTGGATGATTTCAATGCCGCCAATCCACGTGGCTATAACAAGCTAGTTTGAACGAGCAAAAAAAATCTGTCGGAGACACATCCCCAGCTAAACACATGTATTTCAACAAGACGTAGTTTTAAATTTTAATCAATCAGGGCTGGGTTTTCAGCAAAATTAACGTGGTTTGTGATTGGTCAAAACCTTGAGCGAAATTCAAATTTTCTCAGAAGTAGGCGCATTATTACACAAAACAAATATCAAAATGAATGTTTAATTCGCTAGAAGAAGGGTTTAAACCTTCGATCTTGTGATTAACAGCCACACGCTCTAACCAACTAAGCTATTCCAACTTTAATAAAACATAACATTTAAATCTAAAATACATTAATTACGCGCATCAAAATATATATAATTCCTTCTATCCTTGGAATTGGAAAGTTTAGATTCTTTGCGTGTTAAAATGAATTGATCATTACAAAACGAAAAAGAAAAAGAAAAGGCATGAACAGATGTACAAAACAAATGCAGCCTGAACCCCAAAAGAACGAAAGAAAATTAATTGAATTATAAACCGAACTTTGCCACTGTTTACGACCTGCATGTAATTCGATTTGCTTTATTCTGCAGCCTTTCAATAGATTTTGATTGGTTTCCATATATCGTCCAAGGTCATTAATATATATAATGACTAATGAGAGCTTAATTCACTTCTGATTGCCGCTTGCCACTCCAAATGGGACGACGACAGACGGGAAAGGGTTAAAATTGACCAGAGCACTGCCGGCAATGTTCATTTCCGTCACCGCTGCAGCTGGGACGGGGCAACTGCTGCCACCACTCCCGGGGACGTTAGTGCACCCAGAAGGTCCCGAAGGAGAAACACTACCCTTCTGTAGAGACTCTAACAACACACTTCTCTTCATCCACTCTTCTCCTTCTCCAGCCAAGACCCTACCAGCCATGCTCAGTTGGAAGCTCAGAAGCAGCACACCAGCTATAATTGCAGAAACCCTCCTCAGGGACCCCATATTGTTAAATCTTATACGAGAGAATAGAGATGAGCAATGGATAATTTATAGGGGGGATAGACTAGTATTTATATGAGCAACCTTGTGCACCCTACTCCTTAATTTAATTATTTCTTGGGCTTCAGGGTTTTGACTATCGACTGCACATGAACTTTTCTGCATGGTTGGAATAGAATTTTTTTGGTGAATAGATTGGAATAGAATGCATGGATTATAAGAAACAAAGTCTGGGTTTCAAACTTGTACCCCAAGGTCTTTATTGGTCGCCCCCTAACTCTCTCTCTCTCTCTCTCTGCACAGATATAATATTGATAAGTATAACATCAATAGTCTTTGTAAATTAAAATATTACAAGTATGAAGCATGTTCTGGTTGTGGTCTTCTAGTTTACCTTTACTTCTTTCTTGTTTTTTCTGTAAATGGTGGAGCATTATAGACTGAGGAAGTATCATGGGTGTGCTTTTGGGCCCTCAATTTTTGAAGTTTGWTCAATGTGTTCCTTTTGTCAAGTTTCCATGCGACATCAATGGACACTGTGGTGGGGATAAAGTGAGAGACATGGATCATATTTAATTTGTATTTGATTAATTCATTCACTTGCGTGAACTATAAGGTGTTAATTGGCGGTCTTAGTCTCAAATGTCTGTCACGTTCAACCATTTCCACATCTCTATATTTCTTGTAATTCTCGTTTTTCTCAAAAAAAAGGTTAATTATATACGCGATTGAGATCATCTTATTAAGACCTGGCATAGATTAATTTCCAAGTATTGGGTTTGCTTCCATGTATGTAGTCAAGAGAAAGAACCCGGATTTGATGCTTCAAATATCAGATCTTGTATTGCTTATTATAGAAAATATCTCTCAGACTTGTTATTCTTGTCGCTAGTAGCTGGATAAAGCTAACAATAAATGCATAAATATAATATAATATATCCAGTTTGGACGCCTAAGAGAGTGTTCTCTAATGTTCATTATATTGTTTTCCTTAGTTGTGATTTCTAAAAACAAATTAAAATAGTCTGGTTTGAAAATAAACTGATTCTTGAAACAAGGGTGGTCACTATGATATTAGCATGATATAGGGAAAAACTTGTAACCAATCAGGTGTTATTCATCAGTATCATAAAAGTGGTACTCAATCAGGTGTTATTCATCAACATTTAAAATAGGTTTTGATTGGTCAAAGCTATTCTGTTATCATATTTTTCCATCATCATAGATTTATCCAAAACAAAAACATGAAAAACATGTTTTTAGTTAATACATGTGTTAAAAAAAAAAAACTACTCTTGAGTTTCTAATTTAAATAACGGAAAAGTACGGATAGACCCAATGCAGATTTCTGATTTCCACTGTAAAGCTTTAAACATTCAAAATGTTAACAACCCACACTTTATGTTTTCATCTTGTTATTTAGGAGGTGTATGTTTGACAATGTGAATGGTTTTGCTGACTTGGCAAGTGTTTTTGTTTAATAAAACAAAACCACACATTGCGAAACACCCTTTAAAAGTTAAAATCATGTTTCATAAATCATATAATGTCTGCATTACAAATGTTGTTTTTGTTTTCTCAAAGACATGAATTGTTTTTGGAAATAAAACCAACTTGCTTTTGCTCTCGAAACAAAAACATGTTTTTGTTATTTTATTGATGTGGCAATTTGGAAACAACAACATTCGTGTTGTAGAAAACAAGGCGGAGGGGGATCATCGGAAAATCCAATGAAACCTATACATGTCTGACAGACTATCACTTCAAAATATATTAATATCCCTCTCCCTATGTTAGAGAATATCAACATATTCAAATACCTCACCTAACAGCTTAAGCTTTTAGGTTGAATGGTTTCTTGATATGGTATTAGAGCCACTTTGACCAAGTGGTCTAGCATTCAATTCTCGTCACCCCCATTATAATTAATTAAATTTCAGAACAAGGTATTGGTGGGCCTGTACTATCCACACTTCAAGCCCAATGAGCTTTCGTGTGAGGGGGCATGTTAGAGAATATCAACATATTCAAGTACCTCACCTATTCGGTCTTACCTTGGCCAAACCATAGGGAATGAGGAGATCTGTCCCAGATCTATCTATACTATCTATAAAAGTAAGATTATAAGTGGTTGGCTTCTAGAATTTTCACTAGACTAAAATACCCCATCTCTATAGTTTGAATGAGAGAATGAGCAATGGTAAAAATTTTATTTTGTTTTCTCATTTAATGCTTATTAGGAAATGACTCTTCTTTCTCATTTAGTGCTTATTACAAAAAAGACACAAAACTCCATTCTTTTTGTTCATAATTGTAAAACAAGTTAATGGCAAAAATGTTATTTTGTATTCCCATTTAATGCTTGTTAGGGAAAATACACAAAAATCCCTCTATTTGTTTAATAATTTGAAAACAAACCATGGTAATTGTTGAAACTGCCCTTGAAGTTTTTGACCGTTGTCCAAACCTCCCCTTAAGTTTGGTAATTACAAATGGATGAGCAATTTATTCTTTAAACTATTTTCTTGTTTTAATTTTTTTAATATTTTTAATCTATTTTCATTGGTTCAGTTCTTGATCATTAATGTAGTAGATGGTTTTCTCTTCTTTATTCCCACCATATGGTGTGTTAATTCTTAATTTCCGTTACCTTAAGTCCACATCATTTGATGGCAAGATATCTTCAAGAGTAAGTGACATTTTTTATAGCAGTCATTGTAAGGTTTTTAGCAGTAGAAGGAGTTGAAGTTGGATTTATCATATACAAGTTAATTCATGCAAAGGTAACGAGAATTCAAATAAAATTCTGATGAACATAATTGAAAAAAAAATATTAATTTTATTAATGAACCATAATAAATAAGAATAATAATAATTTTATTAATGATAAATAAGAATTTTATTAATTCTCATGACCTTTGCAAGAATTTTATATCCACATATCTCTATATTARTGAATCGATAAATAAGAATAATTTTATAGATGTAGAAAATATTAAAAAAATACAAAAAWTTTTGGAAATATATTATATGCTATCATCATCACAAAATTTGTCACATGCAAAGCACGTACACAAATACCAGTAAATAAAAAATATATAAATGAAAAGGTTGTCTGGTTGGGTCAAGTATGTAGGAGCTTCCATAATACCAACTCTATATATTTTGGCCACATGATGAAATGTCTTCTAGTTAATCCAAGCCATTTATTAGATGGAATACCTCTTGATTGACCATGTATATTTTAAATCATGGAATTAGAGGTGGATTTGAGCTGAGTCGAGCCGAATACATAGCTATTCGAGCTCTGCTCGCTGAAATTGTGTTAGGCTTGAGCTCGATTCGAGCTAAAGACTTGAGCTTAAGCTCGGCTAGGTTCAAAGTTCGCAAGTTCAAACTCGACTTGACTTGTGCTCGACTTTAAGCCAAGTTCTTTTTTCTAAACAATAAATATTATAAATATAAAAATGTTTTTTTTTATTTTATACACAAGAAATTAAGAATTATAAAAATGATTTATTATTAAACATATAAAAATAAATATATACATATAAAAAATGTTTTTATTTTACATACAAAAAAATAAGAATTATAAAAACTATTTATTATTATATATAAAAAATAAAAATGTTATATATAACATATTATTATATAATAAAAATTATTTATTATATATATTTATATATTTATATGTATATATATGTATATGTATGCATATAATAAAAAATATTTATTTATTATACTAGGCTCGTAAGCTTTACGAGTCGAGGTTCACTGGGCTCGAGTTCAACTCAATTAGCAAATGAGCCTATATATCAAGCTCGAGCTTAGCTCGAAGCTCGATTTAAACAAAGACGAGCCGAGCTCGAATAGCTCGTGAGAAGCTCGGCTCGTACCCACCCCTACGTGGAATCCACATTAGATGAATTTCAACTTGGATCGGTTTTGTTTGATTAATGAGGTATTTTGCATTGTGGATGAGAAATTAGGTGGTGTATTCTCATCTACATACCACACCTATGGCAGCATAGCAGGATAATTTTTTTGCATTATGGATAAAATTGGGTAGACTTAACCACACCACACCCTCATAGGCATTCTACAAGGTGTGGAGTAGTTTAGTCCACAATCTATGTTTTGATCCCATGCATCTCACCTACAACATGTGTGACAATGATTTATGTTGTTAATAAAAAATAAACAATGTTCTTTTTCTTGTAATATATATTATAAATAAAATAATATAACTYAACAATGAAAGTAATATATTTATACATAATATGGATAATAAAGATAATTATTGAAAACCATTTATTAAAAAAGCA